TAAAAAATAAAAATCACAAAATAGCCACAAACCTATTCTGTGTACACTGACAATATCAAAAAAGTACAAATTATAGACACATAGAATCCAAACACATAAGGAGGTCAAGTAACTTTAAACTGTCACTAAACAGATGGCAATTTCAATGTTTCTGCACATCTAAGCGTAAAGTCTCTTTAAAAACAATGTGCAATTTAGCTTCTTTAATCTTTAAATTTGCTTTAGTGTTTATATTGAAGAAAGCCCCGAAAATTTATTTCAACAGGCACAGCGTGGAGCAATCTGTTTCACATGTAAACCACATCAGTGCTTATCAAAAAGGGCTCCCTTTGTTAGTTTCAGTGTAATTAAGCTCTTTGTTAAGGTCTATTTATTAATCAATGTCTGAATACAGGTGCTCATAATATTTGCTGTAATCCGCCATTAACCCCATTCCTCTCTGACCAAGCCAGGATACCAATGTGTGTGTGTGTTTGTGTTCAATTGTAACATGCTGATTCATCCACAGATGTTTTTATATTCCAAGATTGCTTCCAAGTTTATTGACTAATGTGCTTGAATAGCTGCATTGTTTGTAGCTGACAGCATTATTCCTGCTTTCTAAAACATCAGTGCTCCACTCAGCATACCGGCAGTCAACTTGCCTAAAACTGATTCAAAAGCCCGGAAAAGCCCTAAATAAGCCTGATCAATGAACACATAAAATATAAAAATCTGAAAAGACGAATGGAAAATACTTGACTATCAATCCAAACCACTGTGTCTGTATTGTACTTTCACATGGGCTGTCTGGTTATTGTACTGCACCATGTAAAAAGAGGTGAGATTTATTGGAGAAGACTATATTGTGAATTTAAAGGTTTAATAAATAAAAATCGTATTTGCTTTTACACTAAGTACTGCTTTATTTAAGAGGCAAATATTGAACTTTTTTCGTTAACTACAGCTGCAGTCATACATTCACAGTCACAACATTCACCAAAAAAAGCAAAAAAAAGAAATTGAGTGCAGTTTGAATTTCTTTTGCATTTCCTCCACAAAGGGTTATAAGTATACATACAGGCTCACACATATATATGGATACACTCACATTAATATTTGGTTAAATATCCTTTAGCAAGTTGTAAGTCAAGCAGACGCTTTGGTAGCCATAAACTACCTTCAATAACGCTGCATATTTTGGCTGGATATTTGACCACTCTTCTTGGCACAGTTAGTTGGTTATATTCTAAAAATTCTCAGTAGAGCTGAGGTCAGGGCTTTGGGAAAGTCATTCCAGAAGCCTATGTTAACGTGAATGATTTATTAATTCCAGAACCCGTTTTGATGTGTTTGGGATCATTGTCCTCCTGTTGGAACATACAACTATGTCCAAGTTTTGTTGATTTGGGCTGAAGTTTAAAAATTTGGAGGTAGTCTGCCTTTATTATTCCATCCACTGTTCCCGCAAAGCATGATGCTACCACCACCATGCTTGATAGTTGCTATAGTCTTCTTAGGCCTGAGATACTCACCTTTACTCTTGTCACTGTGTCCAAAAATCTTAGTCTTTGTCTCGTGTGACCATACAATTTTCTTCAGAAGGTATTTGGCTTGTCCATTTGGGCAGCTTCTTTCTGTCGTTGGCTTTACTGTGGACAGCGACACTGGTGTTTCAGCAGTTTCCAGTTCATAGCAGCCTTGAGACTCAGCAGTTCCTGGGTTGTTTTTGAACATCTGCACATTTCTTCTCATTGGAGGGTAAAAGTCTGGGTCCTTTTTCAGACCCTGGCGAAGTGTTGACACATCCAAATAAGTTGTACTTATGTAAACTGTTTGAACTGAATTTCTTGGACTCTGTTGTTGTTTAGAAATGACTCAGAAACCTATAGTTCAGCCTGTATGTATACTTTTGTCCTTCAGCCAATTAGAGAAAGTTTAAATTGTTTTTTAAAGTCATTAAGCATACAGCAACAACAATCATTCACCCTGGAAAAAAAACAATTTAAAGAAATCATTCAAATTTAAAAGTTACCACGACTTCTATGTCCATGTGTGTAAACTTCGGACAACAACTCTACGTTGACTTGAAAGCTATAGCTACATATTACTTTGCAAAAATGGACAGAATTTTATTAGAAGGGCGTTAATCTACACAACTACCTTCTGTAAGTATAAGCACATTTAGCTGCTAATTATGATCACGTAGCAAAAAGCTTTGTTATTTCTGAAAGATGAAATAACAGCCTACTTCCTACTAACTGAATTAATAAGGTATTAAATATGTCTTTGGTAAATTTGTTACATTTTTTTACCCTCAAAATTCACAGCATATAAGCAACATGCACAGTTAGCAGAGTGCTGTGCTGTCACTGTGACCTGCTCACGCTTCTTGACTATTAGGCTATACTTGTTCTTGGCGCTAATAGAAAACAACAGAAACAATGCTGAATGGATATGCATGATGCCAAACCACAGAACTACGTGGGGGCCTTTCAGATTTGACAATATAAAAACTCTAATAAAGATAACTGACTGCACACGTTTAACATGACCAGTAGAGATAAAAGGTGCTAACTGAATGAGTGTGTTAGCTTACAACTTATTTTGCAGATAACTTTCAACAGCGTAGCAGCAATCATCATGCAAGTTTACCTAATGTTACATTGTGTAGGATGGGTCCAATAAAATCTATCAGACAATATCCTCCTGTGGCATGTCGTATATTCCAGTGATTGTGGCATTAATTAAAAAATATACTGGCACCAACCCCAAGCCTACGAGCAGACACCCCTATGGTATCACTTTCAAAATCCCATGTCGCCTTGTTCTCGAGTCATCACATTCACAAACTTAGGTGTGTATGTCGCCCACCTGACATGGCGACAAAATACCCAGTCACCCAGTTGCCCTCATATCCAACTGCACAACTCTTCTGTTTGGCCCACAAGCCCATGCTGAGAGTCTAAACACATGATGGCAGTAAGAGAAAAAGGAGACATTTGATGTGGTTGGGAAGGAAATGTTTTATTCCTAAAATTTATTCAAATATTACAAAACTGGCCCTTTGTATTTTGCCTCATTTCCTTTTGACTGGTTGGTATTCACATGCGAGCCTTATTAGAAGTCACACTGTGAAAATTTGTCCTTCAGCTGCAGGCGGTCTTTGGTTGCATGTGCACTAGTGTTTTGCAGAGCAGTTTTAATAAATTTGGACTAAAGTCCAAAATTTCAACAGTGTAAAAAAGGTCTTTGAGCTTTGTTTGAGAATTCCCAATCATTACAAGTCAAAAAGACAAACAATGCAATGTAATCATTTTGATTTGGAAAGTTCTCACATGTTGAGAAAATTCATTTACTTTATAAACAGACTGCAGAGAAACAAGTAATAGGACCATATAACAGCTAAAGATAAGCTTGAAACCGCACAGTTATATTAAGTAAGACACAGCTGGATGAGTCACACCTTCAGCCCTTTCATTCATGCATACAAAGTACATTAATGGCTCACATTTAATAACTTTGTTTTAAGAGTCACCGCTAAAATCCAACGTGATCTAACAATGTCTGTCAGAGAACATTCAGACTCATGCTTACAGCGTGACACAGTGAGTAAGCACCAAGTAAGTGAATCATATGAGGGTGCACATGTGCAAGTGGTGACATTAAAGTTTCTAATCTACCTTTAAGGTGGCTGTAACCATTCTTTCACTCTGAAGGGATTCCCTGTCTATTCATCCATCCCATCATCCGATAAATAAACCACTTTCTCCACTATTTTTTAGGACATAAATGCAATACTAACGGTTCCATCTGCCTCAGCTTTACCTTGTGTTTTATAACAATTGGCAAATGATAATAACTTGCATGATAAACACTTGCTTGGCATTGCAAGTATAAGTACCCTAGCATAAATAGCCTCACAGCTTTGAGATGTGCTTTTGGTGAGGCTGCAAATGTTGGTGTGCATGAGGTAAATTTTGCCATCTGCCAATGAGCACAGTGGTCTGTAGCTCAAAATTTGTGACCACGCACATTGTCTGCAAAACAAATGGACCAACTGTGGGTGTGTTAGAAAAGCGAAACGAACTTTATTTCGTTTTGCATTATAATTGCTCGCTGGTCGATTTTGTGCAATAGCAGAATCTTCAAACCTAAGCCATCAATAAATGTTCTCTATGAAAACAGCAGATCTGTTCCTTATTAAATGAATTAGACCTGTAAGTCTAAGCTGTACTTATACAGCTTGTCTCCCTACTGTAAGCTACAGAAATATGGTTGTTAAAATACAGACCAGACGCTTTATATGGAAAAAAAAGTAGTGGTAATCTTTCAGCTGTTTTCAGTCCCATTGCCACAGATGTATAAAATCCAGCACATAGCCATGCAGTCTGGCTTTACAACCATTTGTGAAAGAATGATTTGTTCTACAGAGCTCACTGGTTGTAATTTCTTCCCTCCCTCAATTGTAAATGATAACATTGCAAAAGAGAAGTGTCTAAGAACCACTACAACTCAGCGACAAAGGGTCAGACCACTGGAGTTACAGAGCGGGGTCACTGAATGCTGAGATGCATAGTATGTAAAAGTTGCTAGTGCTCTACAGACATCCAAACCTTCTCCGGCATTAACATCTGCACAAAACTGGGAGCTGGGAGCTTCAGGGTATCCGTTTCCATTACTGAGCAGCTACTCTTGATAATGTGTAGGTGGCTCAGCACTTCTGTCTACATAGTATATCGACTTAGAGCCAAGCAAAGGATTTCCTCCATTACTGTATGCTTTTACAATGGGTTAAAACACGCTAGCTAACATTTCAGGGATGAAATAGGGATGAAACATCACTGTTGACATTGTAGTTTTCTGAGTATTTTAACCATCATACCAGTCACATTTGTTTCAGTCTTCATCACCGTACCATTCTTCTCAGTGAAAGTTTGCCACCATCCAAACACTTTACATCACAATAAAACAAACCAGGCATACTGTAAGACTCTGAGAAATCAGAAATACTATCTTACCTTATGCCTGCACTTGAGCACCACTCCATATGCTCCTGGACAACAAGAAATGGAGAGAAAGATGCAAACGCTCAATAAAAAAGTGAGACTCAGATGTGGTGTTAAAGTTTTGACATCTTAATTATGCTTTGACCTCCAAACCTCAAACAAAAAGGTTCATGAAAAAGAAGTACAGTAGGTGAGAACCACCAGAGAAACAGCCGTTAATAGGTGAGGCGGAGGCATGCATACTCGCTCTCCCACACACAACACACACTCACAGCTATACCTTTCACAAGTAACACACACACACACCGTGTCCCTGTTCCTGTCTTTACTAAGACAGATGATTGTGTCAGTTTAACAAGACTGGGATGATGGCTGATATTTCAGAAGTCGAGTCTCTGGCTCTGTCCTGCAAGGATGTCAGCTGGACTCGCATTTGCTGAAGTTAATGTTTTCCACGTCTTTCCAAACTGCTCTTGTTGCTGTTCAGATCACATATGCAACGTAATGGGTTAGGTAATGCTGCTTGTCTTTCTGCCAGAATCGGTCTGTTTTTGTGGCAATGGCCTGATTTCTGTGCAGAGTTTTAGAGATTTTTATAGCTTCAGTCTTACGGAGAATGATGCCCTTTTGCCTTGACACCATCTGTCACTTAGCTTGCTTTCGGAGTTACTTTCAGTGTTTATTTTTTTCTTGTTTTTCTTTTTTTTTTGTGAAAGGAAATTAAAAACAACAACAATTAAAACCTATTTTTTTATAATGATATTTCTTATCATAAGATTTTTGATTCATTCAAATATTTATCTGTTTGCTATAGGGGCAGAAAGAGGTGCAGATATGAAGAGAAGCCTGTAGAAATACAGTTTGTCTTTACAGAAAAACTGTAGAAATGATCTCTGTGGTAACATTTATGCAGTTCAGAGTTTTACAAAGTTGATTTACTTACATGGTAAAACAAACATTTTATCAATACACATAAATTGCTGGCAATAAATGGCACAGACCTCTCACAAGCGTGTGCATGAGTTACATGATTATGGGAATTTCAAAAACCCACTTAAGTTGTTTCATAATTCCTTTCTTACTTTCTCCATGGACAACGATAGGTGAGTGGTGCTAGTTAGAGTATTTAATGTCCCAGCAGTATTACGAGTACATGTACAAATGTGTTTCTTTGATAAATCACAGGAACATGAATGTGTAAATAAGCAGTAAGGAGAGAATGGTGACTCCTAAATAACATTCTTAAACCCATTGTTCCTTCACTGGGCTGGTTTCAGTCATTATGCAAATGTACTGTTTATAAGATCAGGGAAACCTGCAGTTTCTCCCACAAAACGCTACGTCCAGATGAACAGAATCAACTTTTGGAGATTCTTAAGAAAGATCCTTACAACATTCAAACTCCCTGTTTAGCTAACTGCATTCTAAAAGGAAACACTTAAAAAATATTAGAACCTAAAAATGCAGCAGCTGTTTAATCGGATCTTTTTTTTAAAATTCTCTGTAACGTTTGAAAAACATGTAGCAACTGTGAAGGAGTTTTGTCTACAAAGAACAAAATGTTCTGAAGTTGCTTTGCCTCTGATTCATGAGTATGACAAAAAATCTTCTTTATAGTTTTGCTGACTAAAGTTTACATACATTGTAGGGGTGCAACGATACACAAAATTCACGGTTCGGTTCGGTTCGATACTTTGGTGTCACGGTTCGATATTTTTTCGATACAAAAAAAATGTTCATGCCTTTTTAATTTGTCATTTATTAAAATTATAAATATATATTTTAACTCAAAATTACAGTTTTTAAATTTAATGTTGCTGAAACAAAAAAGTAATAAAAAATAAATATATCTGATTGAGAAATCACTCATCTTTGGAGAAGAGAGTTTATTACAGAGAAATGGCGCTTTCCAAAATAAAAGCTATACTATACGCTTCTTCTGGGATATACTCTCAGCAGCATATTAAACATATCAGGTCCCCATAAGGAGAATCATCTGCTAACGGTGGTAAAGTTTGTAGCATGCGTGCTTGTTGTTTTTGTCTGCTTCCACTTGTCTTTGCACTAGGATGATGTCGGCGTAAATGTGCAGTCATATTCGTTGTGTTCCCACTAGTCCTGTCAGCGTTAATCTCGTCGAAATGACCTTAACGCCACAACACCGCAAATCTCCGTTAACGAGCTACCGGGGATCATCCCCTGCATGGGGCTGGACGGCCAACACCTTAACAGCAAACTGTGCTAACACACTAGCTCCCACCCATGTAATTGAGCATTGCGTGGCACATCCGACATACTGTTTTACTTTAGTCCATGACGCGCTTACCTTCAGGGTCATACGTCACATGAAAACCAAAATAGTTCCAAACGCCAGATCTGAATGAGGGTGGGGGAGGTTCAATTTGCCATGTTGCAACGACAGCTTAACTTCTGTCTCGCTAGCTTGCCCTGCGCTCAGTGAATCTGCGTTCGACTACTCCGCCTAGGCTGCACTGTCGAGTGCAGATCCACTGAGCGGTCAACACGGACAGCATCGTCAGAAGTTGATAAAATAAATTAAAAATTTTGTATTGTTCGATACATATGCGTACCGAACCGAAAGCACTGTATCGAACGTTCAATATCAATACGAGTACCATTGCACCCCTAATACATTGGTATTATGATGTATTTAGAGAAAAAAAGACACAATTTCACTGGAAGAAAAAGATGAAACAATTTTTAGTGATAGCATACATTTAAAATACAGCAAACCCATCTGTGTCAACGTTGAAGAAAAATGGCAATACAATAAAAAAGCGAGTTGGCAGAGACAACAGTTAACTTTAATATATGCCGCCAGGGTTACACTGTATATATAAAACATACTCTGTGTAAAGTATGAAAAATGTGTACACACAGAGCTTTTAACATGAGGAAAAAAAAAACAGAAAACTGTATGAAAACTGTTATTGCGGTTCGTTGTGTACATAACTTTTTGATAGATGTAGTAACGAGTGCTGGTGTAGATCACAGTTTGCGAGAATTACCAACAGCAGAATAAACACTTGGCTACTCTGTCTTCTCACATTAGAGTAAGGCAGGAATACATGTCGATCCAGCTCAGTCAAATCAGCTGCAAATCACGCTGCTGGCTACAAGAAGCAGAAGCTACACGGATTGCTAATTAAAGGGCGTTTGTGTGGCTCACTTAAGAGTCACTCACAGCTAAAAGTGCAATTTTATTTATTTTATTTATATAAACCTTAAAGAAAAGTACGATTAGGAATAAAAATAGCAGAATCAAGGATGAGCTTTTCAGAAAAACCAAGACTAATTTATGCTGTTGAAAATTTCACAAAGTTGATTTGCAAGAATTACTTACATGTATATTCAACATTTCAGCAATACTCATATGGTGCTGAAAAATGTGTGGTTTCTACGATTTCTTAATAAGGCATTTTACATCCTCCAAGCTAAACACTTCCAACCAAAACCATATACAGTGCTTTTCTCATCTATAAGCAGGATGTCTTTGTCAGACAGGCACTGCTAATTTTATCCTAAGCAGTAAAACAAGTGATTATATTAAATCATCTCATACTAACCAAGAACAAAGTAAGGCTAGAGTAACATTGAAAGTTAGAACTACCTGTACATGGCAAATTCAGCGTTTTATAGATTGAAGCAATATTAGTTTCATCAGCACTACAAATCAGTTCTTGCTCTTGAGTTTGGAGTGTCTTTTAATTCAATAAGTAATTTTAATTGAAACTAGATTTTCTAAGCAGTGCTTATCAAACTCAGCACTTCTTTCTGGCCAGGAAGGGGTTGATCCTACCCTTTGAACTAAAGGCTTTAGGCATGGGAACCCATTGGCTATCATCTGATAACATTTTGGGGCTTCCGGAGTAGCCAGACTTCCTATCCCACATGAAAGTTATCATTTAGCAATGCAGACAAATTCAAAGAAAAAATCTAATTGAATAAAAATGTGCAATTCTTTGGACTGGCTGTTTACCTGTATGCAAACAACACCTTCTTAAACATGTTTGGTCTAAACAAAAATCTTGTCCCCGTGCCTGCAGATTCTACATATTCATACTCATATTTTTGTTTGCTGCACCAAGACCAAGAAGGGTTGGACTGCACTGATGATGATGATAATCACACAGAATAGAAGCAACTGAATGTGATTAAGGAATAAAAACAGAGACTGTTAGAGAAGATCAACTGAGCAGCAGAGGGGTGAGCATGCTTGACTGTTAACATACTGATTAAATTAGTGCTGTGGAAAGGATCCAAACAACAGGTATATGCAGGGGATGTTTTCAATTTGCAAAACGGGAAAGAGCGAGGCTTCATAGTAAAACCTTTAAAGGCATTCTTATCAAACAGGCATACATGCAAACAAAAAAACCCAAAACAATTTTGTTTTAAGATAAATATGGCGACCTAATGACCAAAGCTATTATTATAACGAATCAGACATTACTCCATAGGAGACTTCACCACACTCTGAGGCTCATGCGCCCCTTTAAAATCTGCCTGTGCTCAAAAATGCTAAAGTAGGATATATACTCTCTGTCAACAGCTATGTGTGTAGGTTTCAGCTGTGCAGTGTAAGACACCTGAATCCCATTAAAATGTACACTGGTTATGACCCCAGTGTTACCAGCAACAGTACATAAAGTCTTCAAGTTTTAAAGCATGCAGTGAAATCTGCCGTGTAAAATCCACCCACCTTCGCCCACAATGCCAAGGACTTCAAACTTATTCATTACATCACCGAGAGTGAGGGCTCCTCCAGCGGGTGAAATGAGCTGCTCGGGTTTTTAGCGAGGAGACTCCTGCTTTGACCAGCCGGTGGAGTGAACTGTGGACTCCAGGAGGAACATTGCAAGCGTCTGACCACAGCCCATCTTCACTCCCTTTACACCATAGCTTCTCTCTTTCCCTCTCTCTGCCTCTTTTCTGGACTTTTTAAAAATATCTCTTATTATTGTAATTATTAGGTATCTGAGTCGAGTGTATTCAGATGTCCTTTGCGCTCCCTTTATTCCATGTGCTGATGTCCTTCTTCTACTTCCATCCAACACTACATGCCGGCAAACCTGGAAGACCAGAGACAAAAACAAAGATGCAATTAAATATGTTGTCAAAGGGTCTCTCTGAAGGTCCAAATATCCCATCATTCCTTGCACAGGGAGTTGCATGCTCTTAGTCTTCCTGACACAGACAGTGAATAAGTAGGACATGTAGATATACAGAAAGGCAATATTTCCTTGAGGACATGTTTAAATAACTCATGGCTTAAGCATGACTTCCACACAGATCCCATCTATTCTAATTAGCTATACATCAACATGGAGGATGCTGCAGGAAGCATGTCAACAACATAGGTGCTCAGAAGATCCTCAGAAGAGGACTCTTCTGAGTGATCCCCTACCTTTTTCTCTACCGTCCCTACAAAAAAAGGGATTTTTGCTATTTAATAAAGTTATTGACAGCCATTGGATGAAGTGCTTTAATATCCATGGTGCGAGAAGAATGAATCCTCTTTAATTTGCCTACAGCACTCGGCAACCATCAGCAGGTCAAAGTTTTCACTTATCCGATAAAACATCTCCGCACTTACTAAATGGGTTGGCACAATTTTGGTAACAAACAGTGATGCATGATATAGCCCACAGATTTCGGCCTGACTTTCCCTCTGGAGACACCAGCTGAGTGATGTTTGTGGTTTTCAGTGAAAGGTCTCTACTTGATTAACCATCACATTCTGTGTCGTCATTCGTGTTTCCTGTCGTCGGCTCCAAAAAAATTTGTCAAGTTCTTTATGTAATCCCAGAAAGCTGATTGTGTTCATCATCTTGGTGGGAGAAATGTTTCGTCACTCATCCAAGTGAGTGATAGTGACTGAAGAAGTCACTTGGATGAGTGATTAAACGTTTCTCCCACTGTAAACACGACATCCAGGTGAACACGATCAAGCTTTCTGGGATTTCCTTACCTGGATGCATGCATCAAGATATTTTACATAACACCTAAATATTGCAAAACTATTAACAGTTTTTGTGTTTGGGCTAACAAGGAAGTGTTAACAAGGTAAACTGGATGTTGAACACAGTAAAAATGACAATTCTTGGTATTAGCAAGTTAACCCTCTGAGGTCTAAGTCATCACAACTCAAACAAGCAAAAATAATATGTAATTATGGTTTTTAATGAGTTGTTCTCCCAGTTTTAGCAATCACAGAACAAAGAAAATAATCATTCTAAATGACAAACATCAAAATCTACTCTCATTAGTTCCTCAAATAGGTCTGCTTTGTCTTTGTCCAAACTATAGCATTAGGGTAAGAATTGGGTCATCATTACAACCTACACCTCAGCAATACCCTCTCAGGTGTGGCGTCAGACTTGAACTTAGCTCCAAGCACTCGATCACACAGCGTGACAACACCCAGATCATCTGTAGAATTATTGGGTGAAATTCAATCAAGGAAAGTGGATGTGTAAATTCACGTCTGCGTCAGGAGGATTTAGAACAATCCCGGTGACCTCTTGGGTTTTAAGCTAAAGGATCATTAGGTCAAAAACAGTTGTTTTACTTTCCAAAACCACTCTCACATCAGCAACAGTTACACTTTGTGAAGTGACCGCTGTCTCTGCAGAACTCTGAATCTGTCAAGCCGAGATGGTTGATGTAAAGATTTAACATTCTCCCTCTTTGCTTATAGTTACCCCTCAATCTTTCTGTGAGGTTATTATACATGTACAAGTAATATTGTTATTATTTTGTTTAAGCAAAGCAAAGAAAAAAAAGCCCCAGAACAATTACATCTAAAGGCAGACTGTCTCTTGTCACACATCCAAAAACTGACCACGAATATTAAATGCCTCTTTTGTAATGTGAATGCTGCTGGACAGGAACCATCAAAGCTTCTCACGGTATCAGTCCAACTTCATTTGTATAACACTTGATTTATTCAGCAGTGCAAAAAAACACTTTAATGTTGACTTGGCTCATGTGCCTGTGTGGGCGTTTTCCTATGCAGTGTACGCTCCACACAGCTAAGTCTTTCCAGGGGAAGAGATAAGGTGGACGTTAAGGCCACCCATGGCTTGTCATTTAAGGACAGTGGGTAGTGAATTAATTCGTAGTGCACATTTTAATAGGTATACGCCAGCGACAAGAGTGATCTATGAGACATTAGAGCTCATACTTTAGGGAGGAAATAAAATGGATACAGCATGCATTCGGTTTATTGATAAGCTGCTTCCTCTCCTTGCAAAACGAAATGGAAACAAGGTGAAAACATCACCGTGAAGGTCCAGAAAATACTGAATGAATATAGAATGGACGGCAACACGACACTGCAACTGAGGCTCGTTGGAGTCTGCATGCAAAGAAACCTCGGCAATAAGTGAGTTTGGGAGTGTAAATTTAATAGGCAGGTGCGTGCGTCCGCGTGCACGAGACTATGTGTGTTTGCGTGAGGTGAGAGAGGGGGTGGGGGGAGGATAGTAATGCTGCTCTCTCTGCACCGAAACTGCGTCTCTTTCGTCGCTGCGTTGCAGAGCGCACCACCATTCCATCGCTGTCCACGCGATTCTCAGCCTACACAGCAACCAGTGCATACATTATAACGGTCCACGTTCACGACAATGTTGCACAACAACATCCACAATTCAAGAAGGAAAAAAAGCCTTCACTCATGAACCCGTGGTAAGACATCATTCCCAACACATACCAAAAATTAAATCAAATCAAATCCGACGAGATAACGAGTAAAAAACCTCACCGTTTAAACCACGCGAAGGTTTACCTGCAGATGCGATGTGACGCCTGTACGAAGTGAGAAAGCTCAATCTGTGAAGCACGGAGCATCATGCCCATGAAAATGATGATGTGGGAAGACGAAGAAACATCATGTGGAGCGACAGGAGATGGAGGAGGGGGGGAAACCCGGGCCTGTGCGTCGTGACACGATCAAATGTCCTACTCACTCAGTCTTTGGACGGACGGTAGACCGAATCCGCAGGCATAACGCCGATGACGGGGTGTCAATGTACCGTCAACAGTTCTTCAGAGGCTCCGCGTTCATAGCCTCAGCATCAGCTGGTTATAGCAGCAAAATCGTCATTCCTCTGAGCGACGCTGCGCACAGCCAATAGAAACACGGACGTCTGCGCGTTCCAGCAGTGGTTTAAGATCCACAGCGAGTCGAGATAAAATAAAACTTTGGGATGGAAATGCAGTCCAGCGCACTGTTTGTTGAGCGTTTGATAAGCCCGGTGATCGTCTCCTTCCAGCAGCACGCAGATTTTTACACTGTTAATTACTGCTGCTGCTTCCCTCCCCTCCCCTTTGGTCAACCCATGTTGTGTCACTGATTAAAAATCTTCCTGCAGCTCCTCTCCACTCGCTCTCACCTACACCTCCCCTCCACCAATGCACTAATTGGCGAAATCGGTGTGAATCCACTGGACTCACGGACACTGCATCGACCGGCTTCGTAATGAGAGCAGGTGTTAGAAAGATGGTGCACATTAAATGCTGCATTATTTTGCTTGTGTGTGACCCCCCCCACCCCCCCC